GGACCGATGGGCGATAGACGGACCGATAGATGAGTACTGGACCCGTGGGCGTTTGGGGGTACCAGTAGCGAGGAAGAGACCAATGCCGAGGGTTGGACCGAGGGTCCAAGAAGCATCAATGCCAAAGATGCGGTGCCCTCAGGGATGCTGGGGGCAGAGAGGAATCAGTGGCTTTGATGAGCATAAAGAAAGTTCTCTCTGTTTGCTCAGAAGACGAGGACGATCGAGGCCCTTAAACAAATGCCCAGCCTTCCTCAGTGTCGAGCCTAAGTCAAACACTGGGGGAGGTCGGAAGCCCCGCCCAAGGTTCGTAGTCTGGCCAGTCCCAGGACGCTCAGCCCCGCCCAGTACCCGCATGGCCCCCGCCCCCTCGCGCCGATTGGCCAGGCCGCCAGCTCGGCCCGGCGCGGGGAAGACCCGGAGAAACCACTTTGGCCCAAGGAACCGGCCCCTCACAAGCCCTACTGCGCATGCTCGTTCCTTGACCCCAGCCTGAGGTGACAGCCCGAACCTAGGCGGGGGCCCCCAGACACCGAGGCCGAGGGACCTGCCGCTGCTTGGCCTCCGGAGAGAGAGGGCCCCTCTGCCGTCGCCGCTCGGCCGGTGCCCGGTGAGGACGGGCCCCAGCGGATCGGGGAGGGTCTCAGGTCCCTGCCGGGCTCTCCTGGGGGTCCCCAAGGGTTACTGATGCTGGGGGGCGGGGTGCTCCCCACCTCTGCCTCCCGGCGCTCAGGCCACCTCCTTGTCCTTCATCCGCGATTCAAGCTCCTTTCTCCTCGTTCCTCCTTGCCCCCAACCACCCCGACCCCAGGATTGAGCCCTCACACTCCAAATCAGGGAACCCCACTCTGGGTTGTCTATCCTTGACCGCGTCCGCCCCACCCAGTACCGCCCCCGCCCTGCACCCAGCCCCGGTCCCGTCCCATCCCTGTGGCTCTAGCGATGCTCACAGGGCTGGCGGTTGGTGGTCTGAGATGCTGGGACAGGGGAGACACTCAGGCGGCTTGGTCAGGAGGGGCGATCCTGACGCGAGAGGGGAGAGGTGGGGAGCGGGGGCCATTTGAGCGCAACATAGACAGGTCTAGGGGCAAAATACAGCGGGTAAGAAGGAGTAAAACTAACTCTAAGACTACCTCTGGTGATGATTCTAAGCCATGGTGATCAGGGGAAAGAGATGTCATTACATGAAATCCCCACTTTGGGGAAATCGTTCCCTGCACACCATCAAATAGCAATTCTTGACCCATTTTGGATCTTATTGCTACTTTGAAAATCTCCCTGTGAGGATATGAACCTGATGCCTAAGTGAACCCATCACCTCACCAGCAGCCCCATCACAGCCCTCCAAGAAGCACATGTGACAGTGATTATGGAGTGGCCGAAGAACAGTTCAACTATGAACGAGAGATTAGAAACTTCCTAAGCTGAGGACCCATGGCATCAGCCATGTTTCACAAAGTATCAGAATCAAATAGAGTACTGGTTAAAAAAAAAAAAAAAAAAGTTGATCCTCAGGCCCCTCTCCATATGCACTGAGAAAGAAGTCTGGGGTTGGAGGAGTCCAGGATTGGGCATTTTAAACAAGAATTCTGGAAGATTCTTAGGTATCGTTAAGTTGGGAAACCACGGTCATAGACTTAAAATTTCCCTTTTCTTAATATATGAGTTTTATTGAGATAGCTTACATACCGCGAATTCACTCACAATGTGCAATTCAATGGCTTTTAGTAAATTCACCAAGTTCTGCAGCCATCACCACCATCAGTTTTGGAAAATTTTCATAATCCCAGAAACCCCCATACTAGTATTCACTCTTCTGGCCCCCATCCCTCCCATCGCTAACCCTAGAAAACCACACATTTACCTTCTGTCCCTATGGATTTTTCTACTGTACCAATTTTCTAGACTTCAGGTCATTTTATAGAAATGGAATGTATAATTGCCATCTTTGATGACAGGCTTTTTTTTTTCCACTTAGCTAATCTTTCCAAGGCTTATTCGTGTATGGCATGAATTTTTCAAATTATCAAATAATATTCCATTGTGTGGACACCTCACATTCTGTTTATTCATTTACCTGTTGATGGATATTTGGGCTCTTTCATTTTTTGGTGTCTGTGAATAATGCTGCTGCAAGCATTCTATGTACAAGTTTTTATGTGGACATCAGTTTCCATTTCTCTTGGAGGAACAACTAGGAGTGGAATTGCTGGGATATATGGTAACTTTATGTTTAACCTTTTGAGAAATCGCCAGATTGTTTTCCAAACTGGCCGCACCTATATACACCACCACCAGCAGTATGTCAAGGCTCTATTTTCTTCTCAACCTCACCATCACTTGTTATTGTCTGTTTTTTGTTTTGTTTTATTAGATCCATCCTAATAGTGTGAAATAGTATCTCATGATCCACGTTTCCCTCACGACTAATGATGTTGAACATCTCATGTGCCACTTCTATAGTTTCTTTGGAGAAAGGCCTTTTCAGATTCTTTGCCCATTTTTAAATTGAGTTATTTGTCTTTTTATTACTGAGTTGTAAGAGTTCTTTATAAATTCCAGACACAGGTCCTTTATCAGATATGTTGTTGTTTTAGTCGCTAAGTTGTGTCTGACTCTTTTGCGGCCCCATGGACTATATGCCAGACTCCTCTGTCTATGGGAAATCCCAGGCAAGAATACTGGAAGGGGTTGCTGTTTCCTTCTCCAGGGAACCTTTCCGACCCAGGGATCAAACCCGGGTCTCCTGCATTGGCAGGTGTGTTTCTCACCCCTGAACCACCAGAAAGCACTTTATCAGATACGTGATCTGCAAAAAGTGTTCTCCTATCCTATGGGTTGCCTTTTGACTCTCTAGATTGTGAGTCTCTTTGACTCACAAAAGTTTTAAATTTTTATGATGTCCAATTTACGTGTTTCTTCTTTGGTTATCTGTACTTTTAGCTCTTTGCCTAATCCAAATCTTTTTTTAAGAGTTTTATCACTAGCTCTCATGTTTAAGCCTGTGGTCATTTAGAGTTAATTTTTTGGATGTGGTATGAGGAAGGGGTCCAACCACCTGGAGTTTCATCCCTGGACCACAAAGGTTTGGACTAGGCCAGGGATGTGCCCCAGGGCCAATCAGAGGCCTGCGGGCGGGGCTTCCCACCATAACCCTTTCCTTCCCAGAATGACTCTGCCAGGGGAGGCACTGGCAGCATCTTTTCTGCTGGACCCTGTGTCCCCCCAGGCCCGCGATACCACCATGTTGTCCACCCTGTGGAGCAGGGGTGGGCAGAGCCGGGAAGGACAACATGGGAGGAGCAGGGGTTGGCTCATCCAGAAGCTGGACCAGACACGGGAGAGATAATGAAACATCAATCCTAGGGGTGCCAGTGGTCAGGGGACTTGCTACCAGGCAGCATAGACCTGAGGACACCCCCCCTGAGGTGTCCTCCCTGTCACAGTAGGAGGTCTCTGCTCTCATATCTAATTGTCAGCGGAACTTGTGGGGGGCAAGGTACCCCAACCACACATTGATCTTGCACTTCAGGCTCCTGTCATGGGAGATGGGGTCTTGGAAGACTTTGAAGTGCGGGGCATGGACCCTTCAAGCCATGTGAGTCTGTTGTTCAGTTGCTCAGTCATGTCCGACTCTTTGCAACCCATGGACTACAAACTCAAAGAAACAGTTCAAAGCCAGGTCAGAGAAGCAGGTCCAGAGGGGCAGGTAAGAGTATGGGCTTCACTGCCCCCTGTTTCCTGAACACAGCATATGAGACATCTGCCAAGGCGACAGCCTTGTTTCTGGGCTAAACGGAGAAAGACCCCCACCATCTGCCCACCACCCAGTCACCCCCAACAGACACCCCCACACCGATGCCCCAGAGCCCGGGTCTCCAGGCCAGCCCGGCCCCTGTCAGCCATCCTTTCTGCTTCTCCAGACCAGCAGCCAGGGAGCCCTCAGTGACCACGGCTCCTCTGGACACCTCCACAGCCCTGTCCCCACTCAGCTGGGGCAGCGCCAGCACCAGCTCAGACAGAAGTCACTGCCCTCCTGGGGCCCTGGCATCCCCTAGCCCTGGGCGGCCCGGGCCTCTGGCCTGGGAAGGGGACTGTATCTATTTGGGAACCCAGAGTCCCGTCTCCCAGGGCCTGGCTCCCCTCTGGGGTCTGCAGAGTGCCCTGGGGGCCCAGCCTCCGCTCCTGGTGACACAGACACTGTTGGGGTGAAGGGCAGCAGGCCTTCTGGGAGGGTCAGTGACCTGAGCTCACATCCCCCAGTGCTTTTGCCCGATGCCCGTTGCTCAGGAAGACCGGCTCCTGTTACCCTGGCGCAGGTCACCCAGGTGCAGTGCAGGGCGGTCTGCTGCATGGCCATGTGCTCCGTGTTCTCATCTGTAACCTGGGTCGATGGGAATGATCAACTTCCATAATGTGGGGTGAAGGTTAAACGGGAAACACCCGTGGAAGCACTCCACCCCGAGCTCAGCACCTGTGGGCCTGGACTCCTAGTAACTCACGGCTGTCAGCACCTTGGTCACCCCAGCGGTCCCTGGAGAGCCCTGTTTCTGGCACATTTTACAGATGGAGAGTGACGTTTGGCGGCGGGAGGTGATGGTCCCGAGGCTGCCAAGACAGCAGACAAGCCAGCCCGGGTTCTCCAGCTGCATTCAGGTCCTTCCCCAAGGTGGGGGCAGGCGTGGGGGGCACAGGGCAGCCCTCCTGTCCTGACCTCCAGCCCAGATTCCTCCTGAACCCTGGCCCAAGGGCCCCTCCACTGATGGGACTTCTTTTTCCCATGTGAGATCTTAGTTCCCCAGCCAGGGATCGAACCTATGTCTCCTGCATTAGAAGCACAGAGTCTTATCCACTGGACTGCCAGGGACGTCCCTGCTGATGGGATTTTGCCTCCTCCCTTAGGACAGAGGCCCTGGACTGCCAGGTTCCTTGCAGGGAGGTGGAGGACAAATCCTACTGAGACCTGAGTGTGGCCTGGAGGCCTGGCCGCCCGTCCCAGAATGCCCCTGCCCGAGCCCAGCGAGCAGGAGGGCGAGAGTGTGAAGGCCGGCCAGGAGCCCTCGCCTGAGCCCCCTGAGCCGGGCACAGATGTCGTCCCTGCAGCCCCCAAGAAGCCCAGGAAGTTCTCCAAACTGGTCCTGCTGACGGCCTCCAAGGACAGTGCCAAAGTTGAAGGGGCCAAGCGCAAAGGTGTGCACTGCATCATGTCCCTGGGGGTGCCTGGCCCTGCCACCCTTGCCAAAGCCCTCCTGAAGATCCATCCTGAGGCTCAGCGGGCCATTGAGGCCACCCCCCAGGAGCCTGAGCAGAAACGCAGCAAGCTGGACACAGGTGAGGCCTGGTCCCAGCAAGCAGGACAGGAGCAGGGCCTTCTGAGGGCCGAAGTCAGGGGGACCGCCAGGCTTAGCTGGCCTGGAGAGTGTGCATGTGCCGTGGACATTTGTGTGTCTGTCTAAATATGTCTCAGTGTGAATCTCTGCATGTCTGTAGGCCTCCATGACAACATGCATGTATGTGTGTGTCTAAGGTTCTGTCTCTTTACATGTGTATTTGCCTAGGAGGGTAACTTTGCATGGGTCTTTGTGTGTCTGTGTTCCTGGGCCTATTTCTCTCCATGTCTGCTCTTTGGCATTTACATATTCATGTGTCTTTTTCATGAGATGGGGCATCCCCAGCCACCAGCCTAGAGTTCTCAGGGAACCTAAGGGACCCCTCAGGCTCCATCACGGAGCCATCCTCAAGGAGTCAGGGAACCCAGAGCCCGGAGGCCCCTCTGCAGGGGGCCCGGCTCACCCTTGAGCCCTTCTGCTGGCCTGTTCCATTCCAAGTGCCTCCTCGTGTCTACCTGCCTCTCTGGGGGGAGAGGGTCCTTCCTGGTCACCTGTGGGGAAGCAGGGCTCAGAGGAGCCAAGTCACCGCCCTGAGGCCATCAGCCGGTCGCTGCAAAGGATGGGTGGGGGGGGCGCGCATCTGGCTCAGAGCCCGTTTCTCCAGCTGGGCTGGGTGGGACAGTCCATCCCCGGGGCTCCCTCCACACCAGCTGAGACCTCTGCTCACTTCTCAGATCAGCCTGGGCCCTGGAGCCACGTAGGCCTCAACCCATAGGGCGCCTTTGTGAGAATTAGGACAAATCTACCTTCCTTGGACGCAGAGATGGGGCGTGGAACAGGGGCTACATGCAGGTCCCAGGCGCCCCTGGGCAGGCGCTCATGGGCACCCCTCGCCCTGCCCCTCCACCTTTACCCCCAGACCTGTCCACAGCGCTTCCTGCCTCCTGCCCCGTCCCCTGGCCAGGCAGCGGGGGTAGCAGCGGCTTCCTGGTTTCAGCCCAGAATCAGCCCGAAGTTTTCTGGAAACAACCTCTGTCCCTGGGCCAGTGGCCTTTGCAAGCGTGTCTGGAGTCAGCAGTTACTTGTCTAAGTCAGCCAACAGCTCCGCACCCCTCCCCTGGCAGCCAGGTTTGCCCCCCCACCCCTCCACCCCCTTTTCCTTTGACAACAGCCTGACCCACCCCCTTCTCTTCCAGATGGAAAAGAAGACAGAAGCTTGGCAGGGCCTCCTGCCCCCAGCCCCTCGGTGGACAGGGAGGAGTCCACCTCGGGCCCTGTGGAGCCCAGGGCGGCCCCGTAGCCCTGACAACCGAGGGTGCGTCCTGCCCGGGTCAGTGAACTTGGCTGCGCCTTCTACACGTTCCACTGGGCTTCTCCTGGGGCCCAGCCCCTGACTGGTTTTCACTTTCAGCACTGTAATTCCCCCCGCCCCCGCCCCGATCAAGCATAATTTACTTTTGTAGCAGAAAAAAATTTTTTTTAGGAGAATAAAAGAAGCTGTACACTAGGTGCTATCGTAGACAGGTTTTTAAAATTCCATGATTCCGGCTCCTTTGAGACCCTAGCTCCAACCCCCCTGCCCCCCTCCCCCCACCATCCCCCTCTCCCCCACCCCCACCCCCGGCCTTCCCTCTAGCACTTACTGGCCTGGACCATCTTTCAGACCCCAGTGGGCTCTGCAGGGGCCTCTGTCCCCCAGGACCTCACACCCCTGGGCCTTCTTTGCCTGGACAACCAGCCTCTGACCCAGAGATGAGGTGGAGACTTGGAGGCCTCCTCTTTCTGCTGCCTTTGGTCTCCAGCCCAGAACACCTGGGAAGCGGATCCTGCCTGTCCCTGGCTCTCCCTCCAGAGCCAGTCCCCAGGAGGCCTCAGCCTGCTCCTTCCTCCTGGACCCTCAGAAAGGCTGCCTCCTCCAGGGAGCCGCACAGGACAGCCCCCCTGCACAGGGGCCCTAATGTTCATGGCAGCCCCAGGTTCTGCTGAGGAGGAGGTGGGCCTGCAGTCTGAGGGGGCACCCCAACGGAAGTGTACGGTGCCCTGTTGTGTTCCCTCTGGGTGGTGTGGGGGCTGAGGTCGATTCTTGGGAGCCTGAGCACCCTGCCTCCAGGTCCCTGGGGTGCTGCCCTGCTGCTGTCCTCCTTCAACCAGAAGTCGCGGTTCCCCAACCTGCTCCAGTGTTCTTGCCTGGAGAATTCCACGGACAGAGCCTGGCAGGCGACAATCCATGGGGTCGCAAAGAGTCACGACTGAGCAAATGATACCTTCAAGATGCTTTAGCCCACGTGTTCCTCGTCATTTGGAAACTGCCTTTGAGCAAAACGAAATGGATTATTATTTTTTTAAGGCAGAGTTTAGAGGACTTCTGTTTTCAAACATTTTCCAAATTTAATCTGTTATCTGTTGACTCCCTCTTGGGAAAAGTGAGTTAGTGGCATCTTCCTTGCCCAACTCTCCATTCAGCTGTTATTTTTACAGCGTGGTTCTCTGTAACATTTACATTCTGTACCCATAACTTGAACAGTTCTTTTGTCTGGATTCTATATTTAAATATATTCCCATTCCCCACCCGGTTCTCCTTTCCTGAGGTCTGAGTCATCCCCGTGGTGGGCTGGTTCTGAGGGTGCTGGGGGGCTGGGGGGGACCGTTCAATGGTGGAGCGGGCCTGGAGAAGAGGCAGTGGGGAAAGGAGCTGACCCCTGCCCCTCAGCCTGGTCTCCAGGCAGTCCTGGCCTGGACAGGGTCCCAGCGGGCATCCACTCCCTTGAACTGTGCTGTGGCACCATTGACCCTTTCTGCAACTACCAGGCAAGGCTGGGAGTGGCACTCGGGGCCCCAGTGAGGGGGCCTGGTTGACTCACTGGTCCCTGGAGGCTGCGTGGAGGAGCAGCAAGAGGGTACCTCCCTCTGGGGGCCCAAGTGGCCCTGCCTGAAAAGTGGTCAGGACTGGAGGGCAGGAAGCCTCTGCCGAGCCAGGATGGGAGCCCACACACTGAATCCAGAGGTGTTGAAGTTTTCTTATTTTTTAAGTTTTGAAACATTGCAAACTCCCATAGAAGTTGTACAAGCATGCAGGAAGCACCACCTAGATTCACCTCTCCCTCCTGCTGCTTTCTTCCCCCTTGACTTCTTCTTTCTTTCTTTAACACACCCAGACCAATATTGTATATTTTTTTCTGTCTTATATTCATTTTAATGTATATTTATTTGGCTGCAGTAGTTCTTGGCTGGGGCACACGGGATCTTCTGTGCCCCATGCGGGATCATTAGCTGTGGCACATGGGATCTAGTTCCCTGACCAGGGACTGAACCCAGGCCGTCTGCATTGGATGTGCAGTCTTAACCACTGGACCACCGGGAAGTCCCACCTTTGGAGAACCTTAATGTCTTCACAGAGCAGGATACACAGGACCCAGTGGTCAACAGATCACAGCCCAGGCTCCCAGAGCTGGACAGGAAGCATGGAACTTCCTGCGACAAGTCCATGAAAACTGGGGCTAAGGGCTGCTGAGGAAAAGGCCAGGAGCTCCTCAGCGTATGACAGGGCCCTGGGGAAGCCCCGTGAAGGGAGCTGAAGGGTAAGGACGGCATGCTTGGGAGAGGCGAGACTTGGGCCCAGAGAGAGGACAGGAAGGCCACGAGGCAGGCAGGATGGGCAGAGGCTAGTGGCCCAGAGCCCAGGGGCCTAGAGGCCACGGGTAGGTCCAGGTTCATGGAACATAGAGGGAGGTGGGGAAGGATTCTCCCAGAGGGGGAACCTAGTCAGCATGGTTTTACAAAACTCACCAGACACCTGGAGGAGAATGGATGCGAGGTGGGGTGGGGGCGTCCAAAGTGGGAGCTGAGAGAACAGTCAGGAGGCCACCCCACACACAACTCCCTCCCCCTGCCTCAGGGTAGAGGAAAGGGAAGGGGGGTTGGAGGTGCTGGAGGGGGCTGAAAAGGGCTCAGAGCCGGTCTCTTTCAGGGAACTGGGTTTGAGGGAGAGAGGACTGGCCTGCCCAGCTGGTAGCTCAGTGGTAAAGAATCTGCCTGCTAATGCAGGAGACACCAGTTTGATCCCTGATCCAGGAAGATCCCACATGCCTCAGAGCAACTAAGCCTGTGGGCCACAACTACTGAGCCTGTGCTCTAGAGCTGCGGAACCACAACTGTTGCCCCACTGATCTGAAGTTACTGAAAGTGGAGGGCCCTAGAGCCGGTGCTCGGCAACAAGAGAGGCCACCAAAAGGAGAAGCCCCAGCAAAGCAATGAAAAGTAGCCCCTGCCGGCTGCAATTAGAGAAAAACGCTCACAGTCACAAAGACCCAGCACAGCCATAAATAAATAAATAAATAAGCAATAAAATGTAAAAAAATACGTAGGATGACGGTACACTTTCTTTTTAAAAATAATTTGCATTGGTCTTTCTTTCAAGCTAAAAATAATGTAATTCATGGTCATGAAATAAATAAGAAAATATTAAGAAAAAATATTACAAATATTTCCAATAATTCCATCACCTAGAGATAGGTTTGTAGTAAATATTTTTATATTCAGAAAATTGGGGTCATACAGTTCTTTTATTTTCTTGGACATTCCCTCTGACTTGCGGGATCTTAATTTCCTCTGGAGAGTCAAACCTGGGCGGCAGCAGTGACACCGAATCCTAACAACTGGACAGCCAGGGAATTCCCTATATCTTTCTTAATATATTACAAAGGTCTTTCCAGCGTCCATTTTACAGTGCACCACAACGTACCACCACAGGGGTGGGGATCATTCATCCAGCCAGTCCCGCTGGACGTATCCCGGTTGTGTCCAGGTCGGTAACGATCCTCTCAAAAGTCTTGGGTGAGATAGCAGCTCCAGGGAGGGTCACCGCTCCCAACATTTCCACCCGGCGCTCAGGAATCCTCGCCAACACCCGCAACACCATTGAAAATAAAATATTGACAACGGGCCCCTTCCCCGCTTCATCTTCCGGCACATCCCCCCGCGTGTTTTCTCCTGGGGGCTGCC